GAAAGAGGAAGATGTTTTTCAGTGCTCTGTATGCCAAATTTGTGAGTGTGGGTAACATGCAAGAAGAATTGGGTATTTTCATTGGTGAGGAGAAATGAGATCAAACAGACATAATTACTGAGACAGGCAGGGTGATTTACCAAATTATTATTTATATATTAATATTTATATTTAATATAACATTAAAATATTTGGCCACAATCCTTTTAAACAAATAAAGAAATCTGAAGATGTGAGAAGGCAACAGCACATGTTAAACCACCAACATTATTTTAGAGACGCAGAGGCAGTAACTCGTCCCAATTAACCCTGTTGAGGAGGGTTGGAATGGAGTGGAGATGGCTACAGAGAACCGGCCTGCTTATTCCTCTCGTGTACAAAAAGTGTGCTCAATGTGGAGCTACATGAGGAAAAAGCCCCAAATAGCCAGCAGCCATGTCTCATTACATTTTCTAAAACTTATGTTCTATGACAGAAGTTATTCCAGTCTATATAGAATAAGTATTTTAGAACTCATAATGTTTAAACAATTTAATCCAGGGACAAGAAAGTGATGGTTGCTTAGGAGCCAGCAATCACAATTTGATTATAATAAGCAAAAAAGGACAGTTTCAGACAGGGAAATACTTTCCTACACACGTGGAGAGAAGCTTCAGAAAGACTATCTCCATCAAGATGAGAGGAATGATGAGAAAAATAGGATTCAGAAATAGAGATAGAAATGTAAATGAGAATTCTTATGATCTTACCGCATAGTCTAGAAGTTATGATTGCGTAATTAACAAAATGGCCAATTTTGGCTGAAAGACAATTTTGCCTCAGCAGCAGGGTGAAGGAAATGCTCAGAAGTTAAAAGCATAGTATAGAACAATGTGGAAAGGCAAAAATATAGGAAAAAAAATGTTCTGGAGTATACAAAAAAAAAGGAAGACTACAGAAAATGCGCGAGTGAAGTGAGTACAGGCAGTAAAATGGGGAGCACAACAACGCCGAGGTATATGACTACATGGAGTTGGTAAAATAGCATGGAAGTGGAAGAAATGGTAAAAACTTCTATTCCCTCCTTAGAAAGATTAAGGAAGAGGCATTTTATTATCTAGTAAAACAAAGCAGCACTTTTCAGTCCACTAGTGAGTAATGAAGGTGGTAAACAACACCTACTAGAACAAACTTTTTAAAATTAGGGTATCTAGGGAAATTTTGCATAAAGATCCTTGAAGAACTGGCAAAAGAAATCTCAGGAATGTTGATTTTAAGAAATCTTGGCATATAGAATCATGGAATAGAATCATAGAATCATTTGGTTGGAAAAGACCTCTAAGATCATTGAGTCCAGCCGTACCTATCCACTACTAAACCAGGTCACTAAGCATGTCATCCACCCATCCTTTAAATACCTCCAGGGATTGGGACTCGACCACATCCCTGGGCAGCCCATTCCAGTGCCTGGTAACTCCTTCAGTGAAGAAATTTTCCCTAATATCCAATCTAAACCGCCCCTGGTGCAACTTGAGGCCATTCCCCCTCGTCCTATCTCCCGTTACCAGGGAGAAGAGGCCGACCCCACCTCGCTACAGCCTCCTGTCAGGCAGTTGTAGAGGGCGATCAGGTCTCCCCTCAGCCTCCTCTTCTCCAGGCTGAACACCCCCAGTTCCCTCAGCCGCTCCTCGTAAGACTTGTGCTCCAGACCAGATACGGAGGAATTTGAGGAAGATCCTGCCCATGCTCAAGAACGGGTGACCGGGGCGCCCAGGCCACGAGCCCCACCAGCTGCTGCGAAGCACGAAAAAGGGCGACAAGAAATTAATCGAGGAAGGAATAATGATGTGAAAACGTTAAAAAACGCCGGTCAGTATATGCTCGTCTGGAGAAGAGATCCAACCAGCCAAAGCCCGTTTTCACCCTTTGACGGCATGAAGGCGCTTGGCTTACGGACGTTAACCACGTCATTGTCATTTGCTCGGATGTTTGGCACAGAGCCTGATTTAGCACCTCCTGGCGCTGATTAATCAGCGCCAGGAGGTGCTAAATCAGGCTCTGTGCCAAACATCCGAGCAAATGACAATGACGTGGTTAACGTCCGTAAGCCAAGCGCCTTCATGCCGTCAAAGGGTGAAAACGGGCTTTGGCTGGTTGGATCTCTTCTCCAGACGAGCATATACTGACCGGCGTTTTTTAACGTTTTCACATCATTATTCCTTCCTCGATTAATTTCTTGTCGCCCTTTTTCGTGCTTCGCAGCAGCTGGTGGGGCTCGTGGCCTGGGCGCCCCGGTCACCCGTTCTTGAGCATGGGCAGGATCTTCCTCAAATTCCTCCGTATCTGGTCTGGAGCACAAGTCTTACGAGGAGCGGCTGAGGGAACTGGGGGTGTTCAGCCTGGAGAAGAGGAGGCTGAGGGGAGACCTGATCGCCCTCTACAACTGCCTGACAGGAGGCTGTAGCGAGGTGGGGTCGGCCTCTTCTCCCTGGTAACGGGAGATAGGACGCCCGAGGGCTGCGCTGCGCCGTGCCTGGCGCCGGTGCCTGGCAGTGCTCCGGGGCCCGGTGCAGCCTCCTCGGCCCGGTGTGGTTGTGGAAAAATCAAAAGTAATTCTGGAAACAGAAATTTCTCGTGGTGAATGCAAAGTGAGAAGAGAGAGGTGTGAGACAAGCTAGCGGGTCGGGAAGGAGAAAGCCCAGCCTAGGATGGGGAAGCAAGGCTTTGAGAGGCCGTCAGGAGTGGGGAGCAGGTGAAGCAGCAGCACTGCGTGGTGGTTTTGCTTTTGGCCTTGGGGTGTTTAATTACCAGTAGATGATCCTGAAAATACCGTCGCTGTAAGTGATAAGAACAAAACTGTGCAAAAATGTTCTGCAGTATCCTGCAGAATCAGAGGTCAGCTTAAAACAGGCTTTGGGTAGCTCTGGCACTTGGGAGTTGGTAGCCTTCACCTTTCTCATCTCCCAAACCTATCTTAGACTGGCAAGGATTAATGGAGGCCACCAGCCTTGGCTTGGGCTACTTAGATTCCTTTGGCAATTCTGAAGTGAAAATTGGGTCCCTCAGAGCACTGATTGGCACCATTTTGGAGCTAAAGGGTATTTTCATTTTAAGGCTGCAGCTGGAAGAGATTAAGCAAACTTTGTGTTTGAGTTGAGTCTAGTGATACTTTCAGTGACAATGTGATGGAAGAGTTTTGGGGACAATTTGTTGCTTTATCTCTGAACATAAGAATTAGGACTGGCTGTTCTGAAATGGATGAGTTAGCAAGGCTCAGTGATCTTTCCCCCTTGTAACAGATGCTGAAGTGTCTCCCTGCAATCATTTAAGAGTTTCTGTCTTCTCACACTGGGCCTGCTGCCTTAACTTGAGGTCTCTCACACTTTGCCTTCCCTTTTCTTACTCTTTCCATTATTCTCTTTGACTCGGATTACTTGTATTAGTTTCATGCTTGACTGTTTTTTCCTTCCTCCCTTCTTATGCTTTGCTAGCAGGAGTAAATCAAAGTCAATGGTTGTATGTCAGGTCCTCCAGTGGGTGGGCCTATGTAAGTGAGGTTATGAATACTCCACATTTGTGTTAGTAAACAACAGGCTCCTTGTTACACTAAAATGGATTTAGACCTGTCCTGCTGATTACTCTTGTCCCTTCTCCATGCTCTTTAATTTTTTATGCTCATTTTCTGGAATCAGTTGTGCAATACTACTTAGAACAAGAATTTTAAGGTGTGGTGCACTTGAATGAACCCCACTTAATTTCTCTGGAGACTTATGTCATCACTTATTCAAAAAGGCACAGTACAGGCAACATACAGCTCCAAATATGGGATTATGGGACTTTTAGTCTTGTATATTACATCCCATTCTTCAAGAGTAAAGAAAAGATGCAAAGAAGAGAAAAAATGGGGAAGGGTAGGAAAGCTGAGAGAAAAACCTTCTCCGCACTCCTTCAGGAGACTGTGGATGTTGTCCCTTGTGGCCTAATAACAACGGTTTTGTCCTCGGAGCATTTTTGTTGCAGAGGTGTCTTTAGGTGGGAGATGGCTGAAGGAGAATGGGAAGCTGCTGACGTGGGATTTTTTTGGAAGTTATTTCTTTCCTCTCTTAAAAAGAATAGATATGAGGAGAGACTGAAAAGAGAATGGATAAAAAGCTGATGGAAATGATCAAGGGAAGGGAGACGATATGGGAAAGGTCTATGTGATTCATATAGAGAAACAAGATTTATTTATTTTTACAGTTAATAGGCCATTTTTGTTAGATGGGCTGTAACAGTGTTCATACAATGTTGTAAATAGGGTGTGAAATTTTCGTGAGAAACTTCCAGGTTGCTTCCTTAGGGTTTAAATGGTGTTTGCGTAGAAGTCAGAGGCATCACAGTGGGCACCATTTTTGGCATAGGTCACACTCTTTTAATTGTTCCTGTGATTGGAGTTTAAAGGTAGCCTTAAGCAAGCTGAGTGGGATCTGCTAATAAACTAGCCATGGTAAATTGTGGTTCAGTGTAGGTACTTCTATAGTTGATATTGTTGTCTGTAGTGTCCTAGTTAGGCTGGTAATTATACCTGAACTATTGTAGACTTTATATGCAGGATTATGTACTAAGAATTAGACTGATTTCATGCAAGGAATGCATGACTTCACATGCGTGATCAGTGTACAATGAGTTGTTTTGTTTGCCTTAATTCTGGGATAGCTTGAAATACTCAACTCTTTTGTGCTTCCTTTTGCAGGAAAGTCCATCTGTCTATGTGTGCCCATTCTTCCTTGGGAGATGTCCAATGTTTCCAGTTATGCCCTTCGAATGGCCCGGCTGAGTGCTCAAATATTCGGAGAAGTTGCCAGGCCAACTGACTCAAAATCTATGAAAGTAGTGAAATTATTCAGTGAGCAGCCTTTGGCCAAGCAGAAGGAGGTTTACAGCTGGTACCCTCCTCACAACACCTACTACGCCCTCATGAAGAAACTCCGTTACTTTGGTCTCTACAGGTAATTTCTGCCCTTATAGGGTGGGAGCAGGACTGAAGATGGGAAAGGGGTGGGTGTGAGTTTTGCTACAGTTTGGGGTATTTTTTCCTTAAGGAAAGGGGGACCATAAAAAAAGGTTCATTATATGGTGCATATGGAAATATGTGCTTGATTGTTGCACTGAGGGCAAAGAGAGTAAAATAAGTGACTGCTGTCTAAGTAACTTCTACCATAATTAGCACCTGTTGTGAGAAAGACTTTAGGTGCAGTTATGGGTAAGTGGTTATGTAAGAAATAGTTCGTTCTTTGGCTTTGTGGGGAAGGGAAGAGCTTTTTCTCATAGAGAAGGGATGGGTCTATAGTTCTGAATATGGCAAATGAATGTGCTCCATAAAGGTGATGTTACCTTAATGCAAAAATTGCACTAAGACAGTCTTACCATATATTCCTCAATCATTCAACAGCTAATAAGTGAAATTTAGAAGAGAAGGAAAGTCTGTGATAGGCTGGAGGGGCTTTTTATCCTTTAAAATAAAAACGAAGTTAAGTTAAATGCAAGTATGGTTTAAATAGCCTTGTTAATTCCAGCTTCATCCTCTAATTTCTAAATGAATTTCCACAGTCTTGAGTAGGAAAAACTGCAC